TGTGTTTGGGCTTTGCCATCCATGTCACGTATTAAGTGCCCTATCCGCAGGACCGTTCTGTAAAAATGCTCCAATATGGATCACTTAACTTTTGGGCCTTCATGCTGAGGGGGCTGACAGGGAAGCGGCGCTGCTTGTGAGTCAGGCTATACTGGATTGAAGGACTGCAATTGTTGCGCATGCGCTGCGGCACCGATGTAATGGCCTGGTTAATTCTTTTTCAACTTCTATGCAGGGAGACGTACCTCATGTTAGCATTTTGAGCAGCTTGACACGCCAGAAATGGCATTTTCTTGGCAAGTTAGCACGTTTCAGTATTTTATAAGTCAATCTTCCAAGCCGTTCAGGGGGTCAGTGCTGCCCTGACCAGGTGCGACTCCATCGGGGTTTATTGCCTTTGCGCGAGGTATTTCAGAGTTGGGGTGGCACTGGCAGAATGAACAAGACGGCCATAACCTTAATGACTGACTGATGGACTGTTTGTTGCTTAATGACTAGACATTTCTTATTCAGACCTTTCTTAGAAAAAACAGGGAATAAGAAGTTATGCATGGTGTTAAGCCAAGCTACATAACAGTTTAGATTCTCAAGGCAGAGATGCAGATAGTCTTCAGGGCACTTCCGGCTTTCGTTCTAGTTGGGTTTTGAACACGGGGGAACCACTGGCCAAAAGAAACGTTGCTAAGGTCTTGTCTGACGGAACATACTACTTTCGCTCATCTTTGTTGCTTGGTCAAAATGCTCATGGTTTGGCGGGTAGCTGCTAGGAGCAACAGAAGATTGATTACACTGTGAAGACTGTTCAACACCATGGAGGTATTTCGAGCTGGGCAAAGCAAAGGCCAAAGGTTCAAAGCAGCAGTTCAAAGTGTATTGTGGCTCCCAACCTGAGAGATTTGGAATCTGCTCCTTGAAAAAACCTACTGCCTGCCATCCTGAGGACTCTTAGGAAGCGCTTGAAAGGCGGGCAAAAATCGTCGGCAATCATTGCGGTTGTCATCGATGATGCTGATGCTTGCTCTTATTTTCAGCTGGTCTCTTGAGTGTTTTAGATCGTTTGTTTTGGTGAACTGTTGTGGAAACTCGATCATTGCAAAGCCATGAGCACTGTCTTGTGCTTCCTCTGGATGTTTTGCGCAATAGCCAGTGTGCCCTCCTTTTTCCGGAAAGCACCTGCGAAGGGTTCTCCATAAAGAACGGCTGCCAGCTTCAACTGTCCAACCATCATAATAAAAATAACAACAACAATAATAATAATCATCATCATACAGGTGCAGAGATCCCGGAGATTCAACTGCTACAACACACCCACATCGATACGAGTGTTTGAAGACATGTGGTTGGAGACAGGGGTGCAGATACAGGTGTCTAGATACAGGTGTTCGGATACAGGTTTTGAGATACAGGTGCAGAGATACAGGTGAAGACACCTACGCAACTAATTGGTAATCTTCATTTGAGGCGGCGGGGGGGCCCGGCCGATGCTCACGAAGCGCCACCCTCTGTGGAGACCGTGCGTGTCAGATGCGCGAAGCTGTGGTACTATGGAGATCACTTGTCGAGGTCAAATGGAGGAAAGCCGCAAATTCTTGGTGCTGTCGGCGGCCTTGTCAAAGGGACCACCATCAGGTCTACATTGGTTGCTGGGTGCCTTCACTTTGGCCATACTACCCTCCCTACCACTATGGCCACACTCGAATCCTTCCGCTGGTCATCCAGCCAGACAATCTCCTATCCCTCCAAAGTGCCACAGCCTGTTGCTCGTGGCGCGCTTGGTTAATCCTTTTCGTTGGTCACTCCGGTGTCATACAGAGCGTCCCCGTACCCTCATGCAGCTTCGGAGAGCTCTTGAAGTTGGCCCTTGTTGACATTGGTTGCACGCTGGTGGCAGAACTCTCAGCTGGCCAAGGTGTCCCTTCGGCAGCAGCCTGGCAACGCAATTGACTAAGGGCGTGTGGAAAAAGGTGTCGTTGGAGTGGTGGGCTGGTTGCCTCTTCATTCGACTTCACCCCCGCATAGCGAACAGATGCTGCGCTAGCCTGGACAGGGCACGCGTTCTATGAAGAGCCAGCTACCTACACCTCCCCACACCACTCCAACCACACACACACACACCGCGTACGCAGGAGCTTCTTGCGCAAGTGGAGGATTGCCCCGATCGATCATCATCTAAGGATAAGCAAACCCCCTTTCAAGGGAACCTTCCAGTGCCTGCCACCTTGCGCTCGGTAAAGAGGTCTGGACAGAAAGGCCTTGGCTCATTTCCCTTTCAAGCATTTCCCTTTCTGTCCAAATCCCTGCAAAGCCTCACAGGACCTTGCGTATCTGTCAAGGCCTTTTGCGTTGCTTCCTTGGTCTTGCCTATTTAGTTTTCAATGTGTTCCTGTTTAGTCTGACGTGCTCCCAACACATCTTAGCAACGCAGAGTTCCTGTTCCAGTACAGATTGTACCCCATGCTTGCAAGCGCTTTGTCCTCCTCTTGTTTGTTTGGCGTCCTCCCAATTAGTTTGAAAAGAAATGCCTGGCAATGATAGCTGTCCGCCTGGTCTGGGGCCTCCAGGTTCTCACGTGGCCGTGAATCAGGAGCTTTTATATTTAAACAATGCAATTGTCAAACAGCTGGAATTACAAATTCGAATTTAAGGAGTCGACGCAAAATATAACGCCGAAACTTTGTGGGGTCTACGCTGGGATGCTCCACGACAAAAGCGCCCGCAAGTGCAAAATGCTGTTGCCGGCGCAGGCAGAGGTGTCCCGCGAGGCGCGTGCGACTGGCTGTGGCCTTGCTGCGCGTAAACTTTATTCTGTCCTGTGTATCAAGAATGCTTTGCAGCAGAGGCGACAGGAGCGCCCCAGTTTAAAAGCTGCCGGCGAAGAAACGCCCTGCCAGGTACACGCAACTGCCTGTGGCATTGCTGCGCGCGCAACAGGTCTTGTTCTGCGAGAAAGACTGCTTCGTAGCGCGCTCCAAGTGGAAAAGCTGTCGTAGTTCCGCAACTCTGGCAACTGACGGCGCTTTTAGGGTTTCTAGCGCCCAATAGTGGCGGCAGTGGCGCCCGACACTGCCTCAGGCGTTGTAAGGCGGCGTCCTGGTCTCCGGCGACAAACTGTGCGCCGGGAGAAGTTCTTTCCATATCCAAAGGGTTGGTGTTCGACCAAAAGACCCTTTGAACGTGCATGAAGTATCGTCGCGGCGGTGCAAAGCGCTTGCGAAAGATACCGTGCGAGCAGTATGATGCGGCTTCCCATCATCATTACGGGCCAATTTGGGGTGTGGGCCGTTGGGTGTGGCTGCTGTGGATGTGCTGAGCGCGACTTAGACTAAGTGACGACCTTCCAAAGCGTTGCGTGGCAAGCCCTTGAAGCCGCTGGACGATGGTCAGGCGCCCCACATTCTGTGTAGTGTTCTGGCAGTGTGCGCTGCTTTCAAGCAGACCCTCCAACACACGCCCGCTGAGCCAGCTAAATGTTGTGGAGGGGCTTCAGTTGGCGCTGAGTCGTCGTGTCGCAAGGAGCGCCTGCGGCGTGGATGAGGCCTAAGGAGGAAACAGTGAGTGTGGTGACAAGCCAACAAATTTGGCGTTAGCAAGCAGTTCTTTGATTTCAAGGCGGGATTGAAGTGTGAATGATTGATGAGTTGCGCGCTCACCTTCCACCAACTTGCGAGACCAAAAAAATTCGCACGTGATTGCTTGGCCTCGGTTCAGTTGATCGATTGAAGGGTTGTTGGGGTGGGGGAGATTCTGTGATTGCATGGTTTTGATATGGAAAAGTGGAGAAATGACTCTATGGACATGAGGAGAAAAGGAAGACGACACGACAAGAGAGCGAAGGGGAGAGACGGGTAAAACATGGTAATACTTTTTGGCACCACGAAGCTTCGTCTTTGAAGGTTTTGCGCCTGATCGCATGAAGGATTTGTTCATTGCTTCTGCTGAGGATATCCAAATGCAGTGGGACACCCGTGATGGTGAAACCAGGCTGCTGGACATGAGCAAGGTGTTGGTATGGATGAGAAAGCCTTGCGCGCAGCCTACCTATCTTGACTTCGGAATGTGTGGTGGCTACAGAGATTCCTTCAACGCAGAGGCTCCTTTGAAGAGATTTGAAGAGTCCCGACCCCGCGTCAGTGATTGCCATGGTTCAAACGAGGAGCTCTGTTAGGCAAAGGTAGTGCTGACAATTTTAGCATATAGTTTCGGCAACATTAGCGGTACGTGTGCTGCAAGGAAACTAGGTCGCAACACTGGAGGTTGTAACCAAAAGAGTCGGCGTGCTGGGAAGGCAAGGTACGCTTTTTCACATGGCAAAAACTTAGGGTTTTCAAGTAAGTACTGCAGCCGTGGCTGTGAACTGTTTCGGTCTTCAATAGAACCTTGCAACTCAGTCTGCCAATTTGGCTTTCTCCACTTCAACCAAGTTTTCTTGAGCAGGGATCCCCTATGATGCAATTGTGAACTGCCAGACAGGGTCTAGCCCCTTGGTCGAGCTGCTTGTATTTCACGCTCTGCCGAAAAAAGGCAAAACAAGTAGACATAGGTGTTAGTGTTGGAGGTGTAGCGAAGGTCAAAAGTTCTCCCGCTGCGGCCCTTACAATCCCAACCTTCAACGAGGCAAAGTTGAGCTCCCATCTCATAGACATCAAGGTCCAGACAATTCGAGACAAGTCGAAGAAATCCACAGGAATGGATGTAGAGACGACATTTGTTCGTCGCGCGTAGTTCCAGTAGCGAAGTGTGTCAAGGTAGCTAGACGGCTACATGTGAGGTTTGCAACCTAAGGGATCAGTGCTTTTTGCGGTAGAATAGTGGCACATGTTTCGTTCGAACGCGAAGACTTTGGACTGACCTCCACTCCCAGCACGCCAGGCAATGGTGAAACCTTGGACTACAAAGCACACACTGAGGGGAATGCTGGTCTCCAAATCGCACCCATCTTTGTTCAGGTCCGGTCACTTGGTTCATTTGCTGAAGGCTTTGATGTCACTCAATCGCGCCAGGCCAAAGAAGGTTCAGGTTGACTTTGTCTACGGAGATGGCACCATATCGCCTTTGCAAGCTGCTATTCAAGGGAATTGCGCAGAAGCTCCAATTTGTCGTGGTAACGAGATAGAGCTTGACAAATGTTTGGCCAATGCGAAGAAACACAACTGCTTGGATCTTTGCAAGGACGGTTCTGAGCTCTTGCGGGGGCTGTCACTTTTTGGCAGGGTTCTATATTGTGTGTCCATGTCCACGCAGGTTTTTCCATTTTTAACACGCTTTGAAGATCTGTACAAAATGAGTTCACTTTTTAAAATACGTTTTTGCTTTGTTGGAATGCAGAAGGTGGATCACAGATTATATTTCTTTGGTGAATTCCAGACGCGGCAAATTCTAGAACATGTTGGCTGTCAAGTTTCAAGTTCGTGCTGATTATATAAGTACAAGTATAAGTATGTACTTTACTTCGAGTGGTCCCCATGCGAAAAGGCGATTTAACAGAAGGCGGCGTATATATTGATAGACTATCCTGACACATGCTGCCTGACACGTGTGATGTGCGCTGACACAATGTCCTGACATTGTTGCGTCATGAAGTTTGGTGTGTCTGCTGACACATAATCTTCAAGGCTGGGAACTGTTCTCGAATGTGTCTGACATCCTTTCTGGCATGTGTTCTGACATTTGGTCCTGCCATCAAGTCTGACATGTACTCTGACATATCTTGTGGCATGTACTTCTGACCGTGCCCTCCCATCAAATCTGGGATACGCTCTGATATATATATATATACTTGATCTGACGTGTTTTCTTACATTTCTTCTTCCATCAAATCTGCCTTTTGATCTGACTGTCACGTGTTCTGACATACATGCCCCGACATTTGCTTTGACATTTGCTCTGTCACATACTCTGACATTCTTTGTGGCATAATGTCTGACAAGCTTTTTGTTCTGGCGTGCAGCTGACATGCATTCTGACATCAGTTCTCACATTCGCCCGACAGGTGCTCCTACATTTTTCCTGCCTTGTGTTCTGGCATGAGTGTTGGCGTGTATTCTTGCATTGTTCTGACTGTTGTTTGACAAGTGTCGACATTTGTCCTGATATGTGTTCTGGCAGGTGTTCTTGCAACAGTGTTCTGACTGTTTTTGTGTCCTGTCATTTGTTCTGAGATGTGTTCTGGCATGTAGACTGACACTTGCTATGACATTTTATTTGACATTCTTTCTGCAACTCTGTCTGGCGTTCATTCCTTCTGGCATCTACTCCACCCTTTCTAACATATATATCGGGCATTCTTTCTGGCATGTGTTTTGACATTCTTCTTGGCATCTATTCTGACTCTTGCTGGCATTCTATCTCTGACATTCTTCCCGGCATTCTATCATTTTCTATCTGGCATCTATTCTGACATTCCTCCTCACATTCTACCTGGCCTTGTATCTTCCGTTCGCTCTTGGCATTTTTCTTCATGACATTCACTTTGGAATGGCATGGTTCAGTTCCGTGTGTGCCCAGACGGAGCTGAAGCTCCATGTAGTGTCCGGGTCCCTGTGTGCCCAGCTTCAGCTGACGCTCGCTGCGACATGAAGATGAGGATGCGGGTGCGGTCGGTCGGAGTTGCACCTTGCAAAAAAGTAAAGACCATCATCTGGCAGGTGGGGAAAAACATTCATGACACTTTGTCGCAAATGAACGCATATGTTTTCATGGCCTTGCCAGGCTTTGCCGAGGGTAGCGGGGAAAGCGTAGTCCAGGGGGTGCGAGGAAGTTTAGGCCCAGGAGACAGCGGATGGCTACAAAACTTGCAGGAGGAGGTGATGTCTTGCCCTGACCCTTCTAGAGTTGTTGCTTCCAGGTTTCCAGAGGGGTGAGACAAATTGACATGACAACGCATTAAAGCCGAACTATGGCTAACTACCCGCGGTACATGTCACGCAAAGATGAATATGCACGGTTGAAGACGCACGCACGCACACAAACACACAGATGCATTTGGATAGACCGAAAAGAACTCACTTGCAAATTGCAAGTGCCTATCCTATGTTTTCGCATCTAACCTATCATACGGACCTTAGATATCCCCATGGGAATGCCCCTTGTAGAATTGGTGTGGATGCCCAAAATCAGATTGATTTTTTAGAGATCTACTTTTTCTTTTGGCAACTTTTTCTCTATGAAATCAACCCCCACAATGATCATTAACATTTGAGCATGTTTCAGATTTTCAGAAATTTCTGATAGGAGTCTTGATTTCATAGAGACAGTGGAGGAGTAAAGTCGATGACATGCGAGTAGGCTGGGTGCCCTGATTTTGAAGAACAATGACAACGCAGTTGTATAATAGAAAAGTCATTCTGAAGCTCAAATCCTGATTCTTTAAGGAATTGTGCAGAAGCTCCAATTTGTCATGGTAACGAGATAGAGCTTGACAAATGTTTGGCCAATTCGAAGAAAAACAACTGCTTGGATCTTTGCTAGGATGGTTCTGAGCTCCTGCTGGACAGCTCACTTTTTGTAAGGGTTTTATCTTTTTTTCGTGTGTGTCTATTCTAAAACCACGCGAAGGTCGTTATTATAGACAACCCACTATTCAAAGTGGAATCTCCGGTAAATGATGTGGGACAAACGGCGGTGTGGCTTCTAGCAGGGGAATTGGGCAGCGGCTACTACAACACTCGCCAAAAAGTGCATGACATTTGAACCTTCTCTCTCTCTCTCTCTCGCTAGCTATGTGACCGAGAGTTCGCCTGGCTTCCACTGGAACACATTTCTTTCCATCTCCTTTTCATTTGTGAGAGTTGTTGATCGATACTGGTTGTTCTTTGGCAAATGTACACGTGCACGGGATTGTTTGGGGTCAATGTTTTTCATGTCACGTTGTGTGATTACTAAGTTTTTTGCCCTTGCGTTGGTTGTCCCTCTGCATTGGCTTTCATACTCCCTGCATGAGGATAGCAGAGTAGTTTTCGACAAATTTATGCACCCATCGCAAGATAACTTGTGTTGCTGCATATTTAAAGGCTTACGCGTAACAGCCGGGCGCCGGCCCACTTGGGTCTGTGTAGGGCTGGGTCGGGTGCACGTTAAGCTATCCCTGGTGGTGGTCCGCGTCGGAGACGGGGGCCCTATATTGAGCAAAGTTAAGCTATCTGGTGCGCATCTTGGCCCTAGGTTGGGCCAAGTGGGGCCATGTGGTCTATGTTGGGCACATCTGGAGCCCATGTTGAGCTTATGTTGGGCCTATGTTGGCCTATGTTTGGCCTATGTTAGGCCTATGTTGGCCTAGGTTGGGCCTATGTTGGGCCTATGTTGGCCCCATGTTGGCCTATGTTGGCCCTATGTTGAGCCATCTTGGAGGCTATGTTGGGCATATGTTGGGGATATGTTGGCTATCTTGGGCCTATGTTGAGGATATGTTAGGCAACGTAAGGTGTCTGGAGGGCCTCTACCCACAAAATGTCGATTAAGCCTGTCCGCCCAGCGCGCATTACCGACACCACCCTTGAAAAGCACAGCATTTTTGCATTTCTCCCTTTTCCCCGCGTCGTACTTCGATATGCGCAATAAACCCTGTAAAGCACAGTGTTTTTTATACCTCACACACACGATACACTGTAAATTACAGGGGCTTCAGTGACCCGGTGGTCCGCCCGTTTTGGGACCGAGGGTCGGCGGCAGGGGGCGCGCCCGTCTATAACCTTCGGTTACCACCGAAGGCCCTCCGGGCATGCCACGGGCTTCGTGGCCGGCGCCCGGATTTATGAGGCTTACGCCTGTGACAGCCGGGCGCCGGCCTATTTGGGTTTGGGTATGTGCAGGGCTGGTTCCCCGCTCTCTCTCTGTCTCTCTGTCTTTCTGTCTCTCTCCCTCTCCCTCTCTCTCTCTCTCTGTCTGTGTCGCTCTCTCTCTCTCTCTCTTTGAGACTTGGTGGGGCCTATATTGAGCAAAGTTAAGCTATCTGGCGCGCATCTTGGCCCTAGGTTGGGCCAAGTTGAGCCCATGTGGTCTATGTTGGGCACATCTTGTGCCCAAGTTGAGCCTATGTTGGGTTTAGGTCGGCGTATGTTAGGCCTATGTGCGGGCTATGTTGGCGTATGTTGGCCCCATGTTGGCATATGTTGGCCCTATGTTGAGCCATCTTGGAGACCCTCAAGAAACAGAGAAAACCGCATCTTTTTCACGAAAACCACGTCTTTTTCACGCACTCCAGCCTCCGAAAGCGCCATAAACAAAAGAAAGACTCTAGAAACTAAGAACTCCAAAGAAAGAAACCCACTTCTTTCTCACGATCCCAGACCCACTCGAAAGAAAGAAACCCACTTCGTTCTCACGGCCCCAAAGTCCCAGAGACGGCCGATTCCGCCACAGCGGAAGCAAGCCAGGTTCCCTTACGCGCTCCCCCTTACGGGGTCGGCGGATTCCTTGAGAAACGGCTGTAGGAGAGGTGCATCAGCGCAACGATGGACCCGTGCGAGGAAGCACGTGATGGCCCAGTTATGGAACAGATTGGGAGACTTGCAGTTGTTGCGAAAGATCGCCTTCCTGAACACCTAGCCAAAATGCATGAGTCCCTTGGCAGGCAATCTGAAAGAAGAGATTTGCAAGACCTGTGTCAAAGGGAAGTGGAGGGATGCAGAATAGTTGCAGGTTCTCACACAATGTGACGCGTGCAAGGTTCTTCGATTGGTTCAATGTGCAGATATGGGATGAGTATGAGGTGTACATTACGGATGATGTAGCTTCAATGCATTCATCATTCAGTGGTCATATTGTCACGCGCTGCGGAATTGGACAGGTCACAAGCCCCCAACAAGTGGTCAAGAGAACCGAGGTCTTGGTGGATATTGCTGAGCGCTGTACTTTCCGTGACTCAGCAACTCTTTACCATTCTGGCCACAGTTTCTCATACTTGGAGGGTCCTTGAGTCTTTTGTCCTAAGGAAGTGGAATGCTTAGCTTGGTGAGGTGGGGTGACGTCTCAAGTGTCATTCGCCAAAAGTTCAAGCGTTGGAATTTGAGTTTGCAGTCATGCCATCTCTGTGCCAATTTCATCCCATTGGGATTTCTTGGTGCAATCGTTTTTCATGGTTGTGTGATTTCTTTCAATTATGACTGTTTGCGTGAATCCTGCAACCAAACACAAACAAGTATCACTACAAACATTTGCACAGTTCACTTACT